GCTGCTTGGCGAGAGCAGGACGTCATTGATGAGGAGTGCCGAGGCGCGCCCCATTGCCGGCCAAGAGCCAAGAGCGGCTTGCCTTGGCCGATACATGTTTGTGCGGAGCCGCACGCGGGGAGAAAAGACGCGGAGGCGGAGCAGTCGGATAATCGCATAGTCAAGGCGTATGTGCACGTACTCTACGTCGTGGGATGAAAACCTGGGACAAGTCAAGTTTCCGGCAGGTATGTCAAGAGTTGATGCGTCGTTGCCCACACTAACCAGAGACTGACTATGCCCGACATACGTTACTGAGCGGCTCAGTTCCGTCCCGCGAAAACTTAGGCCGTGTTAAACCCAACCAACCCCAGGCCACAGGGACTCCAATTTACGCTGTAACCAAGGCGAGCTTGGACTATCTACAGGGGCAAGCTTTCTCCAGGCATGGGGTACTATAGTAGGTGGCCTTGATGGCCTATACCATTTACGATCGCGCCCTACCCGCTGGGCAGGTTGCCAGCCGTTCGGATATGCGGCCGACCTGACCGGACTCTGGAACACAGACCTCATCAGACGTTCGCGAAGCCTCTACCAAGCTTAGTTTTCGACGCGAATCTACGCTTGCCATAGTTGTAGCCTTCTTGGTCCTTTATTCGTACGTGACAGTTTGATTGCGGGTGGTGTCTCGACTCCCCGAACACTTCATCTGAGGCTAGGCTGGGAGACGGGTGTTTCAATCACCAACTGTACTGAAGTTATTTTTGGGAAACGTTATAGGGACCAATGCAGACATGCCTGTGCAAAAAATGCTCAATGTCATTTCCACCAAATTCTTCTCAATGAATCCAGGCCCAGAATGTAAAGAGCTTTACATGAGGCGATTTGACAAGATGCAGGCCACTATGGCACTTCTCCGGATAGAATACAACCTAGCAAGGCATCCTAAATATCCATGTCTCCAAGGGTCTGACCCTATAAAGAATCTTAACTAGAACGCAGTTAATTGCGACGACGGTTGGTGTGACCTGTCACTCATACCTTTCCTCTTAGAGTCGTGCGTGATAGACTATAGTAGATACACAGCCGACAAGGTCCCCTTCACATGCTCTAGGGGCTCCAAGACTGGAGTACTAAGGAGAAACAATGAATCAAATGGCATCACAACGCTGGTGAGAAATCAATCAGTCCGAATAGCGTTGCGCATGTCGTTGTTGGCCATAACTACCCATTTTCAGTAACCGTCCCGAAGCCGACAATCACGAGAGATCCCCATGGCTATCAATTAACGTTTGACGCACGACCGCTAGCACAGCACAGCATCACACTGCAAATGTGGGCTTGGCGGAGAATAGAAGATTTGCAAGACAAGCAGTCGACTCAGCCTCCTGCCCATGTGGGCTGAGTCTTGGCCAACAACACCCCAAATAGGATGAGCGCTGGACAATAGAGTTCGGTGCCTGGTCATGCACGACGTCTTCTCTTCTTATCATAGGTTGTTTCAAAGAGTCGGCTTCGCCTCTTTCGGTCCATCTCTTCGCGCAATCTGTCACTTAGCCCCTCACGAGTCGACAAGCGCGAGGTCTCCTCTATTGCTGGTATCAGATCGCGGTGTGCAGACTTGCTATACGTACCGAGTGGGACCTACGCGATGAGCCTCTGGCTCTGTGCTCCTAGGCTAAGACATTTCAGTACTACAAAACAACAGCAGCCCGACTGCCTATGGGCCTGCGCAGCACGGGTTGCTCCAACTACCTATATCCAGAGTTCTACGTTACATTGTGCGATCAAAGCGATTTGGAACATGTTGAAGGCTACGATGGGCGTCCCAGCGGCGACGTTGAATACCTAGTTTTGGGAAGAAGTGATGGCCCTGCCCGTTCCTATTTTCCATGCCGGGAGTTTTCCCATGGCTTTGACCGTGTGAAGCAGGGAATCAAAATCAAAGCATCTATGAGTCGCAATTCAAGGCCCAAATTCATTATGGTTTTGACTCAATCCATACCTTGATGGCTAGGCATACCGGATGACCCCAAGGCCACTCCTCAGTTCCATAAACGTAATGCTAGGGCCTGAGATGAACCGATAGGTAATGCATCCTATCTCCAACGTCCATCCGCGCTCGGCACTTGCCGCAAGCATCTATCTTTGTGGTAGCCCGGTCTCGCCGTGACGACTTGAAGAGGCCATGGCAACACGGGGAGCAGCACATGGTTGAAAAAAAGTAAGGTGTAATACACAAGACTATCATGCAACACAGCTATATAAGAGGCGTCGATGTTCCCCCGATACTATGAAAGATTCATCATCAGAAACAACTTTTTTCACTCTATACACAACTACACCGTCACTCTCACATCCATTGTCACTCGTTCCACTTCAGTCTTTCCAGACCGTCACTCAAACCACCTTCTCTTTCATCCCCAGCAACATTCAAGATGCTCTTCAACAACTTCGTCGCGGCTGCTTTCCTGGCTTTTGCCAGTGTCGGTATGACCAGCCCGGTTCCTATCACCGGTGACATTTCCGTGGGCGACACGAATCCCCTCATTGCGTAAGTCGAAGACCTCGCACATATCTGGTATCCTCATCTCATACTATCACAGCGCTCGTCAGCGTGTGGTTCCTAAGCCTTCGGGCCCTGTCCCCGGTGCCCCCAACAAGGGCTCTGCCGCCACCGCCATTCTAGGAATCGCTGAGAAGATCAACCTCCTGATCCAGCAGACGATCGACAAGGACCTTGAGGTATGTCTCTTGTCTATCTATCTGCCTCATTTACTGATCCCTTCTTAGTGCCGCCGCAAGTTCACCCAGGATGTTGCAGCTCGCACCGCTGCCGCATTCCCTGGACGCGGTGTCGTTGTGTGCAATGTTGGCTTCAAGACAACTGGTACTGTTGTCCAGCAGACGACGGTCAGGTACAACGCCAAGCTGGGAACGACTGTGACGTAAGTAGCTCATCTCTATGGCCTCCTAATCTGGCATTGTCTCTAACCTGGTTATTCTTGAGCTTTGAGGTTGTCGTTCTTGGCGCTGGTGCTTCCTTCACTCGTCAGGGAGATGATGGGTTTGAGAACGTGAGTATTTCTGATCTTCCGGCCCCTACTTGAAGCATGATGCTAACATTGATCTCAGTGGGCCTACAGTATTCCCGGCTCCTGCAGGGCCAACCGCCAGACCATCAGCTGCTAGTAGTTGCAGTCTCGCGAAGTCTACTCTCAGCAGCTGCTGCAACAGGGTTTACATCTTTCAGGTATTCCGGCTCTGTGGCAGTTCCTCTCAATCAGGGTATACTATATTCTTCTGTCTTCCCACAAAGTCGCGCTGAAAACAGCAGGATCTCGTAGTCTTTTACTGTAGACCAATCTCGCCGGGAAGAAGAGCATAGCTTAGTCGACGTAACAAATGCTCACCACTTGGTTCCTGGCATTGAGTCTAAATACTTGCAAAGTGATCTAAGAAGAATATAATCATCTTGTATCAGTGACATGATATGAAATGATATTGGATGGTCTCATAACATAGACCATTCCAGCTCAAGTGGCAGAAGCTCAAGACAGGCCGAGCTTTGATGAGGCTGCAAAAGCTCCGCCTTGCTGCCTCTCACCATTTTAGCTCCTGAATTAAAGCTTGGTCACCCGTTAATTCAAAGGCGGACAGCAATCAATGAAAAGATTCCTCGCAGGAAGAGCAGATAATGTCGAAGCAACGTTCAGCCTCTTAAGCGGCAAGCAGGCGGGGCACCTCAAAGCACGCGCCATGCTGGGGGGGCAGGATACAATGATTTTGATGTCACCAGCCCCTCACAAACGAATTAGAGGCGCTACCGAACCATCATGTGAGTAATGACAGCTTCGTGCACCGAGACTGCGGCAGTACCAACTGCCGGCCGTTCATCCCGTGTCAGACGCTCTTTTTCCTAGATCCACAGCAACTCCCGGTCCGTCAGGCTCAGTCCTCGCGATGAGGCACGGGCGAGTCAGGCTTTCCAGACCTAATACAGAAATGAGCTTTCAAGGTGTGTGGCCTATCGATAGTCACCTTGCCGCAACTCCCGTCCTTGCAGTCCGTTAGCGACTTTGCGATGGCTGAGTGACTTGACTTGATTATATCAAACATGCATCATGAGATATTGCCTTATAGCTCATCTCAGATGAATCCCTATTCATTTGCAATCTGAAACACATTCTTTATAAATGAAAACAGTTTAAGCAACTCTGCTTTCACGGCTGTCAGTCCCTTGTGCAGTTCGAGCCCTGATCCTCGGCTGCAGTGAAAGGCGAGCAATTTTCAACAGCTTGTCTGGGGCCACACCCGAGGGGAAAACTCACAAGCTTCTCCGTCAGATACCTTTTAAGCAAGCAATCACCTATGAAAACTTAAATGCACTAGCTCCGGTCCTAGGCTCATATCCTGCCTGCATTGATGACGGCTGTAAGTGTCCAATTTTGTGTTATCTCAACTACCTAAGTTGTGCAAACCTCTCTCTCGACCAAGTTCTGACCCAATAACGTCAGTAGCCGGTCTAGGGTATCCGACGGTGCTCCTCACGATGCCTGTTTACTGGTTGTGAAAGAGTCTATTCAAAGAATCCAAACTCAAGTCGCGCTGTCAAGCACCATTTTCGTCTGTAACGTAACACGGTCAGCGTAAACTCTTTCTCTCTGCTGATTTGGAGACTGCATG